AAACGCATTTTCGGGGACAATGAATCAGTCCAGTGTTTTCCAAGGGCCACTACGCTCGGTTAGTCGTGCAACATTCCAGCCTCATCTCGAGTAATGGAAGGTGTATACCTTTAGAATAGCTGAATATGTGTGTATGAATGTGTGTCGCTCAACGGAAAATAACCTCCTTCGGCCTGAACGCAGTAGCAAACCTTATTTGAATTCTGTGCAAGATGTGATAGCGCATCGTAGAACGGTAGAATTTTGGGGAGCGAGCATCATGTGCTGACATTTTCACAAGCTTCCAAGCACGAAGGATTTTATTCTTCACGGTGTGCGTCAGCCCGACTGGTGAAAGTGGGAACCGTTTACACACCTACGTAAGCTTATCTTGCTTGCAGGCCTAGACGCCTTGGTTGACATAAGGCTTGCGTCATTAAAATGTGAATTTAACGTTTCAGGGAATGTAGCTTTATTATTATTACTTGCAACACAAATAATCCGCACATTGCAATCCGCCTGAATTCTTCCAAATTGGACTCACCTCCAAGAGAAAACGGCAGTGAAGATCGAAAAAGTATTCTAGTATACGCATTGTGACATGACGCTCGTCCCTCGATGCGTCTTTTGGACAGTGTTGGTCGGTGTTGCCCAGTAAATGGCGTACTTTTCGGAACTATCCCACAGCCTGGGTTTAGGCATTGAAACATATAGCCTTTATTTAAAAAATATTGAGTTTTTCCGCAGTAGTTTCTGCTTTGTTTCCCAAATATATTCCTGTGTACTGTTTTTGAATGCGATGGCTGCACTAGGCGGTTGGCCAGGATCCCGATTAGGTTTTACGCGGCTAGAACCGGAATGATGCGGCGTTTTGTGATACTCTCATGTGAATAACCAACATCCATATGACATTTTCTCCACTGGAAAACATGACGTCACTTAGCTGCATTTCGTCATAAAGCCCAACTTCGATGCTGGAAAATAAGCACAATTATTTCCCTTTTGTCATAATAACTGCACTTGTTGCGAATACCTTGGCTACTTATCCTAGCTAATAGGCCGGTACCTGCGCACGCCGGTAATTACGAAGCATCAACATATTCGTGACAGCGTGATTCAACGGCAAGCGACAGCCCTGTATCTCCATAATCGTTTGTGTTGTCGCTCCGCAGTGTCTGTGCTTGCAACCACCATGGACGAAATGCCTTTATATTTTGAATACACTGGGTAGTCACTCCGTTCACCTTTCCTTAAGCCAGTTACAATCCCCAGTGAGACTGAAATAGAAGGTGCGTATTTGATTTACCTAATTCATATCTCCGGTAAAATTTCTCGGACGTTTCACTGTGATAAAGACGAAATTACTTGCTGCACAATTCGTCTTATTGCTCAGGATGCACGACGGTTGCTGAAGATGAAGCTGAAGGTAAAGAGGGGTGTTTTCAGGATAGTCATAAGATCAACTGTTATAGACTATCCGAATTTATCCGAATATAAACCATCGAATATCTAAGCGATTGGAACAGCCACTCCTAACACAATAAGTTTAAATATAGGGCCAAGGACTGCAAGAATTGTACAATTTATTGCTCCCGAAACGAATACCTCTCATATTATCTCGAAGTAAGAGATTTTTCAATTTATTGGTCCCTTCTTTCCCTTCCATGTGATCGACTGCCTTTGACTGCCCGTAATCCATCCTTTTATTGCGTCTAGCCTGTCTATTCACATTTGTCCTACCTGATTGGACTTTTGGTCGCTACCCAGCACCAAACAATCACCAACTCCATCTTTACCTAGTCAGCCTCTTTTGCACACCCGACAATTCGAACAATTGCACAGTTGACAACTACTCTTTCAGCTGCAAATTACCCCCCAAAAGACCCTTCCTGATATAGAGTGAGCTTCACACTTCATCTCCTTCAGTGGTATAAAGAGAAAAGGAAAACAAAAAGCAGGTTTGGCCAAACATCTAAGCTACTGACCCAAGCTTGTTCTGTGTAGCATCATTAACCATGATATTAACCCCCCACGTTTCTTCTCCCTCCATTCTCAAACTCCGCTGCACAGTTCTGCCTAGTGCGTGCACAAGAACTGGCGTCGGTTTGTTCCTGCTACTGCATTCATTCGAACTTGAGGTCATCCAGCCACTTTTGTGACTGAATTTGTGGACATAGGGCTGTCCCACATGGGAGCCTGTCTGTTCGTTTACTCGACATCATGCTTCAACTTGTTTAAAACAAAACATGCAGCCTAATGAAATATATTTACGGACTTTACAGAAACGATCAACGCCGCATTTGAAACTGCAACACCTTGAGCCACGGTCACAATCCGTATCTATTTGTAGAAGCAATGTAGTTTTGAAGGCTTTAAAATTGGGTCAGCACAAGGGTCATCAGGTTAATTGCAAGGTCGAAATCCAGTGGGCTCTCTTTGGCGCGCAGAGCAAAACCGAGCCGGCCAAAATGGAGTTGGAGCATTGAGGAAACTCTCCGGGTAAAGTTTATTAGCCGGTAGTCCAAAATGAACGGTTAACGCAGTACCTGAAACTTTGTCGGCTAGATGAAAGACTCACAGGATATGAAGGTGATACTAGACGGTCATCGCCAGGACCAAAACTGGTTATTTTCATCGTTCTAGTGGCAGCTAATGTGGAGGTATCCGTGGTCAAACTATCCTAGTTTGATGGTTATCCAAGGCATTACCGGAGATTTATACGCCAGTTTGATGTATATATGTTAAGGCTAGGGTGGTGGACGCCGGTTACGCGCTTCTGTATTTGGTCCACTACTTTCAGTGTAATGCGAAGACAACCGTTACAGAATGCGTGGTGCCCAGGCCAGAAGTAGCAAACATCAAGGGAATCGTTTCGTCCAGCCTTGTATTGTTGCCCACTCTGCTTGGCGAGACAGACCACTGGAACAGCCAATTTTCTATATATGACGATTTGAAACTCTAAGATTGCACTAGCGCAGATGCGCTCTGTTTCTTATTTGCACTCGTTCGTCATTGTAGAGGGGATTTTGCGTTTGCTTTTCTTGCAACTGTAGCACAAATGGGCTGATGTAGCAGATGAAATGTCTATGACGGGCAACAATCCAAAAACACCGTCACCTGCCGTTAGCTCCTACCGGCGGAGTTTCTAGACAGGATGGCTTTACGAATTTCCTAACCAACACAAGGTCATATTCGGACCGTGGTCTCCCCGCCCACTATATTTAAAACCTCACCCAATTTCCAGCGACCAGCGTTTTGTGCCCGTAAAAGTTCCTGATAGGTAGGAGTGCGTACAGATGCACAATAATTGCAGTGTTTGCTTGAAGGACTCGCATATGGCTAGAGATTAAAAGTCGTTTGTTTGATGTTGGCAATCAGATTGTAGGGAATGATATCATGGATTGTTGCATGCACGAAAACTGTGAAACAGAGCATGGACGTCTTCACAGACGGAGGGGTTTTGTGTCCTAAATTAAGGCAGTCGGTTATCAGCACGCTTATGGGTTATTTATGTTAGGCTTGACATTCCTGCCTGAAGGGTGACAACGCATGCGACTTTGTACGCCACGTTCGATATAACACTAGTAAAGAGGGATCAGGCTGCCAATCACCCTCACGGCCACTGATATACTGGGTGGTTTCATTGGATGAACTTCCGAGACCAGTTGCATCAGACTTTTATCGATGGATGAAAACTAGCCAACAGCTACCGACAGAGTTTGCCGTAGATAGCTTATTACGAGAGCTTTCCCATATACTATTGAAGCGGCTAGCTCGTGGCCGCACCTAGAAGAAGTCGATTTCGACCTGTCGAATTAAGATGAGGTAGGAACCTGTCAGGAAGGTCAGACACGTGAAAGTAATCTTAGAAAGCACAGAACCTACCGAGACCATATCCCCCCACTAAAGCCTCTACAGGAAAGCCGTCAAACATTCAGGCCAATCAAACATTCAAGCAGTTCAGTGACAGCCTAGATCGATAGAAGAAAATTCGAATAGGGTGAGGTCACCTGTTAGGGTTGAACTCGCGCACTCGCTTATTCACAGTAACACTGTTGTGTAACTTATCAGCGATGTTTTCCGACACTGGGCATTCAAGCGGGAACAACGATCAAATGTAACGGAATCCTTCTTCCCTGTGAGGTATTTGCAGCCCACTGAGTAACTGACCGGCGCTCGATAAGCGAAAAATGGCCAGCTGCCAAAAAGACCTTGCAAGGTTGGACACTTCTTGGTCATTTGGGAATTAGGACGAAGTGGAAGGTAATCAGCCATTGTGTTACGGGATACAGTGGAGGCGTCCACGAATAATTGCAGTGGATGTACGATTTTGAATTCACAGACGCTCCAGCAAACAAAACAAGAATCTATTATTGTATTTTGTACCTTCCTTTTGCTCCCACTATTACATTAATTATTTCATCAATTGCATAATCATTTTTTGTTTGAATACGAAAAACTACAAGAACGCGCACTTGTACAATTTCATATAATACAAGCGTGGTCACGGGCTTCGACTGTTCCCATTTCACTCGCGCCTGCAGCGGTCATTCGCGAGTCTCATGTGCTAACTCTGATATCAAAACATTTCAGACCATCTTCGGAATCTATTATATGTGGGAACGGTTCAGAAGAAGACCCCCGGACCAACCTAATTGGATTATTGTTTATTCACTGACCTGGGCCAACGACGAACTATTTTAAAGGAAGTGATTTTTAGTGAGCCTGTTCCATCTGACCTCTTTATTATTGTACACCCAACCTAGCGTTATTACCGTCAAGAGAATGAAGGAAAATTTGAATCTCAAGGTCAGGTGTTGTAAAAACTTTTACGGGACCCTAGCCCTGCCGTAGCGTTTTACTTACCCTAGTAGAGCATTTCGCTACCTATTTTAGACATCTCGTTTTCGACCGCACCTAACCACCCCTCAAACTCTTCCTAGCTTGATTAGGCCACACTGAGCATAAGCTTGCTAGCATAATCCCACTGAGGCTTACTATTACCTGATTTGAAGCAAACAATGCCACCAATCCCATCTTCCTCTAAGCGCTTGCTAGACCCTAATTCCCCATCATCCGTCTCCCCATTGCTTCCAAAGAAGCGCCTTGCAGGCAAAAGGCATAGCACTAAACCTCATCATCCTCAAAGGCGAGTCGATAGATTGTCCCAGCTAAATTCTGCCTGCTCAGTTGTACTAACTGACATTTCCCTTCCTGCCGTACCCGGTAGCTGCCTTTCATCCTCTTCACCAAATGAATCTCAGCTCCACACCGACCTGGCAAGTCTCAGTGCTCGTGTGCATAAGATGGAGAATGAACTGTTATCCTATCGTATCATGCAACCAATTGCCTGCCTTCTAACTCCTGATGCAATATGCGATCCATCAGATCTTGCAAAAGCGTCAGTCTTTATTGACATGCTCGCCTCGGAAATTACTCGGCGTATGGAAAGCCGTAAACATGTCTTACTATATAATGCCCCCGAC